TTTATGGTTTCCTCTAATGCCTCAATTGACTGTAGCTCTGAACCTATACCAGATACTGTTTGACGAGAAATAACCACCCTCTTATCGTCAAACTTCATCGGTGCACTCGGCCAGCACTTACTGGGAAAAGTCTCTAAATCGCGAAACAGGGAAACGCAAATAAACCTACTGTAAGACTTTTGACTAAACATGGAGCTTGCAGTGTTGCTAAAAATCCTTCGACAATGCAAGACCGGGTTTGCCCTTCCTTAGGGCTCATAAGTTAGGCACAATCTCATACTTTTCGTCCGTTGAGGAATACCTTGAGGAATTAGCTGAGTTTCAGTTAAGTTTCTCATTAACACCAAATTACTTCGCAATTCAGTGTACTTCGTCAAATTTACGAACTTCCGGGGCATACCTTGTTGCCCAAGCCTGTTTGAAAGAACTAAGTGATCGACGGAATCAAATTCAAGGAAAACCAAGATTGTATGGAACATTTACGCATGCCGTTGTTTTAGGAGTGTGTACGTTCCGCCCATTCTCGGACGGGATTTTGCTTACTGTTCTCCGATACTGTCTGAGTGCATCTTCGTAAGACGATGTAAAATAAGCGACGCAGAGTCGAGTTACAAAGGATGCTAAACCTGCTACCTTTTGAAAATGGCTACGAACATGATTTGCACATCCTGGTAACCGCATAAGCCATATCGATGGTGACAGAAGTTGGTGCACTCATTATTAGGGTGCCAGCAATATCTGTCATCGTGTCCCGTTTGTGACGTTAGAAACATTCCATTGGGGCTAGAGGGCCTTGTGTCAAGGATAATTATAGGGGCAAACTGGATCTCTGGTTGTGTAACTTGGTCCATCGATCTGAGAACAGCGGTAGATACGCATGTTTGTCTTTGCAGGCTGGCTGGCTGCAGGATGCTCGTAACGACTTGGTGCGTAAGCTGATATCCGACGGTTTATCGGAATCACAAAGACGACGTGTGTTTACTAACAAAGGAATTGTTTCATTCTGATTCCATGGTGACTCCATTGTAGGAAGGCATGCCATGCCATGGGGTCGTGAAATGAAAGCAGCTACAAATAGACTGTGCTGTTGGATTTTCGCGCTTTCGTAGCTGGATCCTATGTGATTTCTTGCACTTGTGTAGAAACTACAGGACGTGACACGCAACCAACCCGTGTCGAAAATGCTGTTTAATCCCGGTTGGACTGCCTAGCTGATGTTTGGCGTATACCGGACTGGGATTGAGCTTTGCAATGGACGTTGGATCAATTTCACCAATGGCATGTTAGTCCGACGTGCCCCCCAGATCCGTTTACCTCGTTGCTGTTCAAAGCTGTAGACATCTTGAAGGTTCACCATGGGGTCATAAAGCTGTGTATGCTTGGTCCCCCACTTTCTCCCTCATCTGCCCACTACCAGAAAATCCTTTTGTTATCGTTATATTGCAGTTAAGCGCCAATATTTACTATTGGTATGTTTCCGTCAGTGATGCTAATGTTTGTGCCCCGTTCTGCAGTTGATGGATTCTATCAGAAACAGGTAATAGTTTTTTTAGTTTGCCTTGAATATGTTGGCTTGTAAGGTCAGGTTTACGATTTGTGAGGGCTTCGTCCTACTATCTCACGTCTCACTCAAAAAATTCCAGTTAGACTTTCTATACATTTCTGCCACCCACTCAGCTACGCCTTGATAAATTCTTATGGAAGACTAGATGTTTGCGAACTAACTTCCAAGCTTGCCGAATAGATCAAAGGACAACCTGCTGCCTATTTTTTTCCGTGTTATAGAACAGCCCTCAACTCATTTGTTGTTTCACAGACTGTTACTCTTCCACAATCGGTCCCTCTGGGGATTTTTGTGTGAGTCGATTAACTCAGTACCTGTACGCGATGGACTCTAGGTCTGCATGACATGAACATGAGATATGTACCGGTGTGAATGGTATGTACTGCTTGCTTTTTCGCGGTGAGGCAATTTTGCATATCCTACTATATGGATTCACGCATAATGATCTTTCAAACCCTTCACTGCATAAACTGTACTACCATAAACTCCACAAATTCTGTGGAGAGCGATTATCACAACCACCTGACATTCCCATGAAATAGGTAAAGCTGTATCAGCTGCAGTGAACAGGAAAATAAACGGGTGAGTCGGTTTCAGTTGGCTTCGGGTTCAATGTTGTTCACCTGTGACGCAGTTTCCTGCCAATCGGAGTGAGCGATGCCTATATCATCTCCGAAAAATCGATCAGACCCATGAGAATTGCGGATTTCGCATTCACGAAAAGCTGTCTGTTGTTCCTTTGCGCGAGTACATTTTACTTGCGAGTGATCACTCCTGGTAACGGGAAACATACTAGAAATTGATGGCAAAAGGTGCGGAACTCCGTGGCTCGGAGACCCATTGAGTGTTTGTGCTAAAACTAATCAGTCGAGATATAACACTAACTATTGAACTGGTTGTCCTAAATCCGGCTGATTGCGAAGAGGGGATTAATTCGGTTGAATAGATTAGCTTCATCGAAAGTGTGTTACACAATTCAGCATATCTGTTGAGGCTTTTCACCAGATAACTTTCTATGCACGCTCTGATACCTTCGTTCGAAGTTTCCAACACTGTTCACGTTAGAAGTTGAATCGTGTAAGACATTCAGCTGCCTTTTTCACAACTAACAAAGACGGTAGCAGACTGTGGTCTACATCTCTTCACGTTACTGATTGCACCGCTACCCTGCCGCGCATTGACATCCCGGTTGTGATACATTTGCAGTCGAATTTCCAGTTCAGCCAACATATTAAACACCTACTGTTCGTCGGTCGGGTCTTTGGGAGGCAGCCTTTGCGAATCCCTTTAACCGGCGGTATCTGTTCCCCTGTAGTTCACGTACGTGGGTACTAAGATACACTGGGTTGTTGAAAATAATAGGCGTAGAGTGGTATGCTAAAGTCGATTAAATATACGAATTATCGACTCATTTGTTTTTTTTCACTTCATATTGAAGAGTATATTCCTGAAAATGGTTATGTTGGAGGCACTTCTCCCGTCCAGCTGATTGTTGGAGGCGTTTTCGACTCCTACCCCTCAACACCCGGATCCACACAGTCGTCTGTTCTCAGCCAAGTAACTACACAGTCGTCCTCATTGACTGCTTCCGATGTACACGCAAGCTCTAACTTGTCGTCTAATCCTTCAGTTTCGGGGACCAACTGTGAGGTGTCTTTGGGTTCCGCATATGTGGATGTGGAGACCGGTGAAGTCGAGCCTCCAATGCTACCGAATAGTGCTTCTAATTCCAAAGAAAGCACCTCTCTGCCGGATGAAGCCGAATGGATTCGGGAAATCCGGCAACTGGCGTTACAGCTTATCGAAAAGTGGTCGAAGTTACCGGTGAGTCAACTGACAGTGCTTTTTACAGTTCATTACTCGATTGTTTCGCGGTATATATCATATTTTCATAGTTAAGGCTACATAACAATACGGTAATGAGCTTGACGACAGGTCTTCAATGAGAAGGAGGTTTCTAGGCCTCTTAGCCAACAGTTTTGTGTCCACAGCCGCTCAAGGGTCGTGAATCAAACACGTTCACTTGACACCTCAGCTTCCCCTGCATTCCGTAAATGAAGGATGAGTGTCACTGTATCCTAACTGCTATTTAGTCACACTGCTGATCAGCCGCTCGTGGTTGAACAGTCAAGTGCTGAAACTACCAACTAGGGGTTCGTGGATTCGAAACTCTGGAGTTTCGTGAGGTACGCACTGCTGATGGTTCCATTAGAATGAAACAGGTTCACAGTACTTATCGGCTTTTCAGCAGAGAATGGCTTCCCTTGTGGAATGAAAAGTCTCATGAGGACTTTTTGTTCCATACTGTGACTTTAGGGTGAAATGGCCCAAGTGGTTAGAGCGCGAATTAACTGACCGGAAGGCCCATGGTTCGAACCTGACCTCTGCCCCTCGACTTCCCCTGTCTAGGCTTGGGCAACCTGGTAGTATCCTAGCCCTCGTGCAACCTTCGGGTGACATGGCAGTTAGGCACCGAAAGGGTGCTACTGCTGACCGATAGTGTGACTCACGATATGGTCGTGAAGGACTAGGTCCTTCGAATTTGGGTCTTCAAGCCACTATCCTTCGGCCGCACACTCATGACCACTTTGCGCAGCTAATAGATTTTAGTAGGTGGGACTCAGCCTAACCATCTGTATGTTCCGACACTTTTGTAATGCGTTTGAATCTGTGTTACACACAGCCTGTGAACAAACCCTGCATTTCGGCCTCAGGAGTCGTAAATTGCTTAAGAGAGCGCTTGTGTATGTACCGCGTTTATTGCCCATTTGTACATTGTCTGCATCATCATCATTAACAGAAAGAAAACTACCGAATTCCCCGGACGGAGCGACAGGAGACTGAAAAAGAACTACATTTTCCAAACCATACGGGTTCCTGTCTGGTATCTTGGGGCCATAACGGTGAGTTTTTGATGGGCATGTAATCAGACATTCTTATGGTGTGGTGTTTAATCGTTGACCTTGATATATACCTTGGAAAATCGGGATTTACTCACCCGTTTTTCTGGATCTAGTATACTCATGTCTCTAGACTAGCTAATGACTGACTCCTTCAGAACTATCAGAAACGCACACACATTGACCATTCGACGAGCGTGAAAAGCCTCAGTGTCTGAACGTCAGGAGTCGTATTCCATGAGCTTTCAACCAATTCAAATTGATCAGACCGAACACGACATGGCCCAGGTGGTTAGAGCGCGAATTACTGACCGGAAAGGTCCGTGGTTCGAATCCGACCTCCGCCATTCGACTTCCCCTGTCTAGGCTTGGGCGACCTGGCAGTATCCCAGCCCTCGTGCTTCCTTCGGGTGGCATGGCAGCTAGGCACCGGAAGAGTGCTACAGCTGAACGCCTCCTCCCCCC